CAAAGAGCCAGAGCTCAACCTCCGCAAGCACAACTAGGCGAGTATCTACACTCCTGTGACCAAGATCAAGATAGTTGATCTCACACCAAACCTGTCTCCTGAAGCCCACATAAAAAGAATTACATCTGCGGCATACGCGAGGTTGGCCATCAGAACTGCTTTCAGGAACCTGTTTAAGGAATCATTCAGAACCTTGGATGTTACGATCCATTCGTAACCGGGTTCTTTATAAACTGATCCTACTCAAGTTCAGAGGACTTATCTTGGTGGATATGTAGTGTAATGTTTAGAAGGTAATATTAAAAAAAAGATATATAAAATATCACGTTATTATTTCACATAAGAATCCATATATACATATATAATATATACAACGCTATGAGAGGTCAAACGGACTGGCGTTGCTAGCCCTTACGCTAGCCTTCTTCACGGTTGACAATCACAAAGTGCTTCTGCCGAGATCATTTTTGCGCACTCGCTGGTACGCCCTGGCAACAAAGCCAGCAACATTCGACGAGCCCACTTAGGTAGGGTATCCAGGCCGACCTCTGTCTTCTACTGTCCCGACTTGACTGCTTTCCCTATCCTGTCTCTAGTCTCTCGTCACCTTTCAGCCTGGCAGACTAAAAGATGGGAAGCTATGATTACTGGGAGGGTCGACTTGTATAGTTCGTCAGCCGGATCGTAGATGGCGCCAAAGTCCGTCACATTGTATACCACATATGTAAGACGAGTCCTGGAGTATACGGCCCCAGCATGGAGCCCGTACCTTGTCGAGCACAAGACGAACCTGGAAAAAGTTTAGAGTTTGATTGATTGACAAGGCTAGTCCCAGAACTAAGAGTCATGAGTTACGTGGAAAGGCTGCGTGAAATGGACGTCACGACACTGGAAGACAGAAGAGTAAGGGGAGACATGATTACTACCTACAAAAATCATAGAGGAATTGACAGAGTAGATAATGATAAACTGTTTAACATGGGTGGTACGCGAACAAAGGGATACAGGTGGAAACTGAGTACCCAAATAAGCCACAGGGACGTTAGAAAGAACTTTTTCTGTGTCAGAGTAGTTAACAGATGGAATACACTAGGAAGTGATGTGGTGGAGACAGACTCCAGAAACAGTTTCAAATGTAGATATGATAGAGCCCAGTAGGCTCAGGAATCTGTACACCAGTTGATTGACAGTTGAGAGGCGGGACCAAAGAGCCAGAGTTTAACCCCCACAAGCACAACTAGGTGAGAACACACACAGAGAGAGCGAGAAATATGAACAAATATTGGTCTTACCGGAGGGTGGAGGAAGGAGGGGACTCGGAGCCACACTGGAGTGTCCAGCAGCACCCACAAGTTGAACCTGGTACGCCCTGGCAATCACAGTACTAAGGCTATGGAGCAAGGCTCACTAGTCCACAGCTAAACGAGTCGTGGCTTGAAATATTACTACACAGTAGAGAGTGGAACCGATAACTCCAGAAGCTGCAAAAGGCTATGAATTGAACATGTGCAGATGAGAACATGAGAAGAGTAATGTAAGAATGGTATTAGGTACCAGAGTGAACGAGGAATAACAGTAATGAGTTACGTCAGGAAAACGGTGTTTGAATACAGGGTGAGGAAGGCGGAGAGCCTTAAATTAATTTACTAATTCCCTGTCTTGCGGGGACAGGAAGACTGTATATATGCTTGTCGAGATCGCCACTAGGCCAACTAGTGACCTTCCCCAGGAAGCCACCCACAACAGTTGCCTATACCTCCTGGTTACCTATATACGGTAAGGTGAACATAGGCATCAGGTGTAAGTAAACCTGGGCAACCGGTTCTGGCCTACACGGGGGATTGAACCCGGGTCGATTGTGAGCCGAGCACGTAGTCCACTGTGCTGCAGGACTCATAAGAAGGGAAGGGAATTATCAGGGGAAAGCGCCAAGTCATTACGACTATATAGCACTGGTCAGGATAAGGATTTTGGGATGGGACGGGGGAGGGAAGGAGTGGTGGCCAACCAAACCGTGATTGTTTAGTTTGTACTATGCTTGCAAAGATGTTATCAATATGGAAAGAACTCGAATTGGAGCACTTATGATTGCGTTATCAAGACACAACGGTGTACTTTGGGCAATAAGCCTCGTTGCTGTTTGTGGTAAACTCATCGTAAAGGTGGCAAGTGTTGCAATAAACACAATGATCAATATCGCTCGGCTGTCGATATGGAAGGGTCGATATAAGTACCGCGATATAAGCCTCACATGTACTGTATGTATATCCTAATATCCTGGCAGCATGTCCCCCGACACAATGAATTAATATTAAGTATTTCTATACGTATTAATATATTAAATTAGCGAGTTACTGTTGCAGTTAGCATTTCGTCGTTTTCTGAAGAGAAAATATTTCAGGACGTTTATAGAAAATGTGGTTCATGGAGAATTTATAAGGGTATCTCGCCTAATTCTGAAGCCGTTGTGGCCCTTGGGTAAAAGGATGTTAAAACACGGTTTTGTTGTATTTATTGTCTTTTCTGTAGCATAGTTTGCATGTAAATATATACAAAAATTAAGTGCAGCAGATATTTATTGTTAATGTTTTCATTTTATGTATTGTACAGTTTCTGTTTGTATGTGATGTTATACTATTCTTGTGTTTCTTTCCTTGTTACTGATAATATTGACGTAGATTTTGTTCTGTTATGGTTGTCTTTATGTTTTTACCCCATAAAAATAAAACAATTATCATGTCGATTGGGATGGAAGCAAGGGAGGCGTTGTAATTATTTTATGTTATTATTTGGTGCATAAGAAGGCCTAAATTAGATCAAATTAAGTGTTTTTGTTGTATTGGCAATTCCCCAATCATCGTCTCCCTCCCCTCATACGTAATACAGTAATGGGTATTGCAAATACTTATGTTGTTAGTATAAAATAATAATAATATATATATTAAAGTTGAAGGCATAGGTTAGGTTAGGCGTTTAGGTTCAGTTGGCAATAATATGTATTTGAAGTAGGTGGGTGAAACGTTTACAGCATTGCGACTCGAACCGAGGTCGTGAGCGAAGCACTGTTCGAACATCATCAGTTGTGAGCCGAATGTAAAATGTTTGTCTTCATAAAAATGTGGGTTTTTCTGCTAGCTTAATGAGCATATGTTATTTATTGATATGCAAGAAGGTATATTGGGTTTGTGAGGATACATAGTTTTGTATGTAAAATTTTGTAAAGCCACTAGTACGCGCAGCGTTTGTGGCAAGTCCTTAAAGTAACAGAAAAATTGAAGTAGATAAATTCAAGCAGAATTAATAAAATGATTACAGGTACATTGCAAGAAAACAGAAAAATGAGATGGGAGAGATTAGCAGGTATATTAAAGCACATTGGTAGCTGTGGTTGATTGCATTGACAGCTTGATTGGTAATTTAGACAAGGTTAATAGGCACCATAGAGCAAATTTATAGCGCATATAAGAAGACAGCAATGATCACAATGGTAAAGTTGTTAGGATTAGGTACATAAAGATTGGGAGATTTGGTATCACTAGATACAGTGCAATTTTAAAGGAACATGGTAGGAAAGCATGAAGATGAAATTAGGTACTTTTTAGTTTTGTTTTTGAATGACGGGAAAGTTGGACAGCTTTTCAAATCATTAGGGAGTGAGTTCCATAGAGTAGTTCCCTTTATTTGCATAGTGTTTACACAGATTAAGTTTGACTGTGGATATCAGAGAGAATTATTTTTGGTGTGGTGATTATGGATCCTATTACATCTGTCCAGGGAGAATTTCAGAGCAGGGTTTGCATTTAAGAACAGGGTTTTGTAAATGTAGTTGACACAAGAGAATGTGTGAACGGAGTTTATGTTTAGGGGTTTAAAGAAGGGGGCTGAGTGTTGTCTGAAAGCAGAATGTGTTATTATTGTGATAGCAGATTTTTGCTGGGTGATGATGGACTTGAGGTGGTTGAACCCGATGCACAGATACCATAATTAAGATAGGGATAGATTAGTGCATAATATAGTGAGATGAGAGCAGGGTTAGGTACATAATATCTGATTTTGGAGAGTAGACCAACTGTTTTATAGATTTTCTTAGTTCCGTGTTGTATGTGGGTGCTGAAGTTGAGTATCTTGTCTAGGAATAGGGCAAGAAAGTTGCAATCATTTTTGTTAGTAATGTTAACATTGTCTATGTGAAGTGGAATTGCACTTATTGATTTGCTTGCAAATAAGATGTAGTAGGTGTTTTCTATGTTCATTGTTTGACATATATAAGTGGACCTTTTTTTACTTAATTATTTACAGCATTATTTAGTGTATGTAGGTTGTGGTTTGAGTAGATGAGGATAGGATCGTCAGGAAACAATATAGGTTTAAGAATGTTAGAGACATTAAGGAGATCATTGATGTATATAAGAAATAGGAAGGGTGCGAAGATGCTGGTGTGTGGCACTCCAACGGTTATTGGTAGAGTGGGAGAGGTGATATCATTGGTTGCTACACATTGGTGTTTATCACTAAGATAGGATTGGATATAGTCCATGGGAAGGCCTCGGATTCCATAATGATGGAGTTAACGTAAGAGGTAGTTGTGATTAACAGTATCAAAAGACTAATAGTACTTTGTCATTTATTTATAATGACGGACAGTGTAATACAGTGAAGATATTGTCCGAAGTTCCAAAAAGTGTGTTGGGCTTAATCGACCACCGTGTGGATGGCTATTAACGTCACTACAATAGTTTACCAAGCGGGAGGGATACTTGTAGCCGTAAAAATAGTGCATGACTAAAGTAAACTCAGTATGTATACACGGAGAAAGGTGTTAAAATTGTTTTATGTGTACATATTTCAAAGTTACATGAAATAAATGTAATAAGAATTACTAGGGTATCCAACTATGTCGAGGCGACCAATGAGAATCGAGAGTACAGGTAGCGAGAATGTGACGTCAATTGAAAACGGGAGACGTGATTGGCTGTTGAGTGCACCTGCTGGTAGAGGAGCAGCGCCGCGTCAGTTTGCCCCTAGAAGTTGAGCACTACGGTCGTGAACTTTAGTTGGTGTTGGTGGTCTGTGGTTGTAAACCCTGTTGCTGTGAAATAAGGGTCACTGGGGCCCACAGACCCCCTAGTGTATAGTCGAAAACGTGAGACCGTGAAAGCAGGATTATCTTGGGGGCAAAATATATAGTTTTGAAAGCTATATCTGTGCGTATATACGCTCAAGTAGACGGTACCACCGTGTTTTTGTGCGTATATTGATATTATTTTCGTTTAGTATAATCGGGACTAAAATGAAATTTAGATCGTATGTTTTTGAAGTAACTAATGTGACTAATTTTCCCTTCAGTAATGTAGTGAGGCTGCTGGAACCAGCGTCGGGTATTACGTGTTAAGATGTGGATATTGAGACCGTGAAGAGCCTCCTCCTATTGGTTGACATAGCATACTCGCGGAGACACTAACGGTATGATGAACACGAATAGGTGAAACTGAAGTTGTCGACCAGAAGCAGCTGGCTGAAATGTCTGCATTGCGCAGGTGAGTATTTGTAATATTCGTAGCAAAGAGATGTAGGCATGTTATTTGACTGAATTATGGTGCGAGTGTAAAAACTGAATAGGATTACCATAGGCGGCTGGTGCTATTATTCCTTGATGCAGAAGGCAAGAATTTGAATAGGTATTTAATGAAGTTAAGGTTTAATTGTCAATAGTTGAGTCAAATGAAGGCTGTAGGTCCTTTTCCGTATGAAAGTGGGTGGTTAAATCTGCAGTTAAGGGAAGGAATTACTTTTGGTGTCATTTGCAGGGTTTCTGTAGTCTGAAAATAGGTAGGTAAAGGTTAGTATGTAGTCTAGTTTAAGTGTATAAAGGTCAGGTAAGGGCTACACATGTTTTAAAGCCCCCCCTTTTTAAAGCCCCCCCCCCCCCGTCTCTCGAAGGTGGGGGGGGGGGAATCCATGGGTTGTAAATAAGTAGCAGTCAACAACTTGTCTGAAGGTGCAACATAGAATAGTTTAGACGTAAATATAAATAACTAGTGTTATTAAAAAGGATCTAATGCAAATTGTAATTAGTGTTGAGATTGTTATAGTCGTAGTTAATTGAAGAGGGAGGTACTGGTGGTAACTTTCATATTTTTTCAGGTTATACCCGACGTGATTGGCTGCAGTTCGTCGCCGGCTGAACGAGAACGCGAGTTTGATCAGTTGTATTCCTGAAGGCAGTGAGTGGAGGATGTGTTAACTGGGCTACGTACGAAGCCTGGAATGTTGTACGTTCGTACCTTACTACTACACAGTTAAGGTGAGGCTGTTAAATATGTCCAGCTAGGTGTGGCGGGTCCACGTAACAATGTAGTTTGGTCACCCCCCCCCCCCCCCGGTGCAGTTAGAGCTTGAATTGGGCAAATGTTCGTGGTAGTTATCTAAGTTGAGGCAGTAAACAGGTATATACGTAAATGTTAACGTAGTAAAATTTGAAAGGTATTAAACGGTTACCCTTTTTGGTTAGTAATATGGGTAAGGAAGTTAGGATGTTTAGGTCAGTGTGCAACCCGTCCTCTACTAAAGGTCATTGCATTCATCGGTCGAACTGTGACGGAATAATAACAGGAATCTAGTGAACATGCTACATTTTAAGAATTATAGTGGGATAATGTGTATGTGGCTAGGTGTTTAAGATCTGTTGGGTAATATTTGTAGTACGTGGGTGAAGCATTTGCAGCCTTGTTGTTGAAATAAAATAGTAAGAGAAGCAAGTGTTAGAACATCAGTTACGTGTAAACAGTTTATCATGACGCCTCTTGTCATAAGGTTTATTAAAGTAAAGCATTGAACAACAATTTTTGAGGACTTGATGGCCATTACTAAATAGTTACCATTTAGTAAGAATATAATAGTTTAGGGCGTAGATAGGTTTGAAATTGAATTAATGTAGGAAAATCATTGTTAATAGTGGCATGTAGTCAAATGGGGTGTTGCAGGGACAAATATTAAAGTGATTAAGTGTGTTGTTGTATTCGGGAATTTAGTGATACGTGGTGAAAGTTAAGATGCAAATCACAATATTATCCGTGTTTTGTAATGTGGTAGGTAGTTGTTGTGGCAGTAGAAGTCATACGTTGTATACAAGTAAGGTTCCTACCTAAACAATCTGAGATCAGTGTTCCTACAGCAGGTAGACATGATAGAAGTGGTTTCAGAACACCGTAATTATAGGGTACTGCAGTTATGCAGCCATCATAATAAACAAGAACTGTGGGTGGGAATGCATAGATGTTAGGTTCGCGCCGACCTGATTGGCTTATGAGATTGTCATAATTTATACAAAATATAGAATTGTAAGCCGCAGTTTCGTCAGTGAAGTTGTTTAGGAAGTGTTGGAACTGTTAGTGTACACCAAATATGAGACAGATGGGTTGGCGGGTCCATTTAATATTTGGTTGGAGGACGGACGGGCTACATAGCTTTGGTGGTTTTTGATAAATAGTTTGAGAGCAAGGTCATTCCATAGTCTGAAAGTCTACTGGTGGTATGAAAATTGTTGGCAGTTAATGGTGGTTAGCCAGACGTAAGTGGATGGTGAGGGTTGGGAGACCATTACACCCAAGTAGTAATGACATTCATGTGTTTGCAACTGTGTATATATCAGTGTTGTATTGGGTGGGCATTGCATGAATGGAAAAAATTGACTAGTGAGAGCTGCAAGACATGTAATGTAGTTTTCCTGAAAGGTGTTATAAATTGGTAGACATACCAGAATGTAATAGATCGTAATCATTAAGGAAATAGATGGTTTTAAACTTTAACTTGATGCAACGTTTCCAGAAGGTTGGTGTGGAGAGGTGCGAGGCGGCTGAAACAGTGAAGATGAAGGTGAAGAAACACTCACTAACCATGAGTGAAGATGACGAGCAAGGCCAGAGTAGAAAGTGACATGGAGGATAGTCATAAGAAAGGAGTGTGATATCCCCATTTAAAGTTGAAAGAAATAATCGTGAAACAAAAGATCATTAGAATGTGTGGCACAAATATCATTTATGTAGGAATGGTTTAGTTTGAGCACTAGGGGTTTCAGAGATGGTGTTACTAATGAAGTTAAATATGGCAGATATTTTAGTCGCATAGATTTAAGGGCCAGTGTAGTTTGCGTTTTGTGAGAAATCGCTTTTGTCGTTATCCCAACAATAAATATGGAAAGGTATAGTAAAAAATTGATATAAAGGTAGGCATAATGTTAATTGAAAAAGTACTTTTGACATGGAAATTGTTGGCCGTTATGTATGTTATAGCAAATGTGTGATTGCATTTTGGTAGAAAATAGTTATAATTTATAATTTGAAAGCAAACTAACATTAGTGTTTTATTTAATAAGTAAAAAAAAGTTAATCGTTGATGTTGATAAATTGTAGATTACGTTAGGTAATTAAGTAAAGGAGGCATTGTTCTGATAAATGCATTTGAGTACCATTAAGCTTAAACTCTTATAGTTCAAGTAAAAAATAATAAGTCGTAAGTGATAGAAACTATAATGGACAGTAAGTAGGTAAATGAGTTGTCATTGTATTAAGTGTCATACAAGCTGTACATAAAATATGGCAGTTTGACATTGTTAAAACACTTTAGTGCGCGCGGCGTTCTGGGCCCTCAAGCGTATAATCTTTTCACGCTGCTAACATCAATTCTCGAGCTACGTTTTTCATTTTTGTATATTTATTGCGTTGGCAATAAAAATCTGTAAAAGATCATATGCATAAAATGTCAGCAAAGGATTTGTTATCCCACCACGAAGTAAATAAACACGAAGACGACTCGCCGTGACACCCAAACGGGAAGTAAATGTTCATACTCTTTCGTTTGTTGCCAGCGTCAGTCATCCTATAGCGCTTATTTTGATATCACTGAACTCGCAATAAACTTCCCCATCCAGACATATGGCTATCAATGTCTAATTATGGTAGTGGGTGACTCGCATGAGTGTGGGAACTGGGCGAAGCGTTAGCCTTGGAAATAAGCAGCGACGACACAGTTGTGATGCAGCGCTTTGAAAGTTTATACTTACATAAAGTGTCCTGACATTATATTTCGAGCTACGTATTTCATTTTTATAGCAATGTGTTCGCAATATAAAGTTGTATAAGAACATGGGTAGGATTGGCCAAGAGAGCGTCAAATAAAATTTTACGCGTTTGTAAAATGTTTGTACTTTGTTCATGTTTTTCCAGTTTATACTTGTTCACACCGTTTTGTTTGTAATAAAAATCTGTACAGACATATGCATATAAATATAGAATCATGATCGCGGCCAACACAAGTGTGACTACCCTCGTTGTCACCAACTCAATAGTGTGTCGTCTAAGTTAGAATACATTGCCGTTTTCTCAAATAGGGACTGTGGCGATTAGAGAAAACGGAAATTTAATGGCAAACATATTCATACAAACCCCAAGTCGATCTAGTAGTATATACCCACTATAACACGGACCGTAAATGTACGTCGTGATCCGACAAGGGCTTAAATAAACCGGCCGTACATCCAAGTGAAGATGGCAGAATTGTTTGTATGCTGAAAAAGTTACACATTGACTAATAAAAAGGCGAAATGGAATTTGTTTACTTTATGTATGAATTGTAGTGCTAGTAAAGCTGGAGAAATACATGAGTGAGCAGAGATAAGGTTTGCTGGCAAGACGCATAGCCTGTAGTAAGCAAGGACAGGGCGCTTGCATAGATAAATCGTAGCGTAGATGTTGTCACTATGGTTTGATGTCGATCTGTTGTGCCTAGAAGTTGAGTAAAAGTTCGTTGTAGTGATAGGGTAAATGATATATATTGGTTAATAGATATGCATTAGGTATTGAATACTTGTATATATAAAAATGTAGGTGAAATGTTTAAGACGTGTATTTATGCAACATGTATTTTCATAGATGAGTTAATACAATGAGATGTAAGAAATTAGACGAGTTTTGGATATATACTACATAGAAGTTACTAAAATGGCTGAGAAAATGTTTGACTAGACAGGGTTGACGCACGCACGTGAAAGCTGGACAATAAATATACGTTTTTTGTAATTGGATGAATATTGGTAAAATTGTCGAAGGATTTTGTGGGTGAATAAGAAGTGGCGACAGCTGAATGTAAATGATAGGCGTGAGGTACTGTGGGCGGTGCACATCGCTCCCTCCAAGAAGGTTAAATGAATATTAGGCATAGGGAAGGAAATGTTGCAGTTATTTACATACTGTTTATTGACTTGTTCTACATAAATGTATGTACAAATATAATGTGATGTATGTCATGTGCTAATAATGTATGGCAAAAAAATTATTATTGAGGCATATATAAACTGAGGTGCATTTTATGTAGCTGTCGATGACAAAATAAAATGTATAAATGAGATAATGGCGACTGATAGTTTATTGTAACCTTCGTGATATTTGGCACAGTTGCATCAATGTTATTTTTAGTTAGAGATATGTAAATATAATATAGTTTTCCGTGTTTGGTTTGTTGTATTGATAATTACATCATAGGGCAATAAAATATCCGTTTTATGTCTGACGTAAAATGTATAGATATCTAGTTTGAGAAACTGTAGTATATGCAAAGAAGTTAATTCGTGTATAATGTTGTATGTACAGTGAATACCTGTACGTTGCTCGAAAGTACAATATAATAATAATCAAAACATGTTAATGTACATATACACAATTGATTATAATTATTTGTTTCTATCACGAGACAGTGTGAGGAGAAAAAATGACGGGATTGTCCATATGCTGTGACAGTGAGAACCACATGTTCAATATTCCGTACCTAGTACGCATTTCTCTATTTGCCTAATACGGCACGGTTTCATAAATTATGTCCACCTAATATATCTACGTTAATTTTAACTGCAATAAACAGAAATGGACCTCGTACATAATGAAAATGTACGAGGTCCATTTTGTTTATTGGAGTTCAGAATAACGTAGATATATGGCCGAAGCCATCTTGGCTATTTGGCCGCTAGATGGCCAAAATTTCGCTACTTTCACTACTTTTTTCGCTACTTTTTAGGCCAAAATTTCGCTACTTTTTAGCCCAAAATTTCGCTACTTTTTAGCCCAAAATTTCGCTACTTTCGCTACTTTTTAGCCCAAAATTTCGCTACTTTTTAGCCCAAAATTTCGCTACTTTCGCTACTTTTAGCCCAAAATTTCGCTACTTTAGCCCAAAATTTCGCTACTTTCGCTACTTTTTAGCCCAAAATTTCGCTACTTTTTTCGCTACTTTTTAGCCTACTTTTAGCCCAAAATTTCGCTACTTTTTTCGCTACTTTTTAGCCCAAAATTTCGCTACTTTCGCTACTTTTTAGCCCAATTTTCGCTACTTTTTTCGCTAATTTCGCTACTTTTTTCGCTATTTTCGCTACTTTTTAGGCCAAAATTTCGCTACTTTTTAGCCCAAAATTTCGCTACTTTCGCTACTTTTTAGGCCAAAATTTCGCTACTTTCAGCCCAAAATTTCGCTACTTTCGCTACTTTTTAGCCCAAAATTTCGCTACTTTCGCTACTTTTTAGCCCAAAAATTTCGCTACTTTTTTCGCTTTTCGCTACTTTTAGCCCAAAATTTCGCTACTTTTTTCGCTACTTTCGCTACTTTTAATTTCGCAAACTTTCGCTACTTTTTTCGCTACTTTTTCGCTACTTTTTTCGCTAATTTCGCTACTTTTTTCGCTATTTTCGCTACTTTTTAGGCCAAAATTTCGCTACTTTTTAGCCCAAAATTTCGCTACTTTCGCTACTTTTTTCGCTACTTTCGCTACTTTTAGCCCAAAATTTCGCTACTTTTTTTGCTACTTTCGCTACTTTTTAGCCCAAAATTTCGCTACTTTCGCTACTTTTTAGCCCAAAATTTCGCTACTTTCGCTACTTTTTAGCCCAAAATTTCGCTACTTTCGCTACTTTTTTCGCTACTTTTTAGCCCAAAATTTCGCTACTTTCGCTACTTTTTTCGCTACTTTTTAGCCCAAAATTTCGCTACTTTCGCTACTTTTTTCGCTACTTTTTAGGCCAAAATTTCGCTACTTTCGCTACTTTTTTCGCTACTTTCGCTACTTTTTAGGCCAAAATTTCGCTACTTTTCGCTACTTTTTAGCCCAAAATTTCGCTACTTTCGCTACTTTTTAGCCCAAAATTTCGCTACTTTCGCTACTTTTTAGCCCAAAATTTCGCTACTTTTTTTTTTTCGCTACTTTTTAGCCCAAAATTTCGCTACTTTTGCTACTTTTTTCGCTACTTTTTAGCCCAAAATTTCGCTACTTTCGCTACTTTTTAGCCCAAAATTGTGCTACTTTCGCTACTTTTTACCCCAAAATTTAGCTACTTTTGCTACTTTTTCGCTACTTTTTAGCCCAAAATTTCGCTACTTTCGCTACTTTTTAGGCCAAAATTTCGCTACTTTCGCTACTTTTTTCGCCTTTCGCTACTTTTTAGGCCATAATTTCGCTATTTTCGCTACTTTTTTCGCTACTTTCGCTACTTTTTTCGCTACTTTCGCTACTTTTAGCCCAAAATTTCGCTACTTTTTTCGCTACTTTTTAGCCCAAAATTTCGCTACTTTTTAGCCCAAAATTTCGCTACTTTCGCTACTTTTTAGCCCTACTTTCGCTACTACTTTTAGCCCACTTTTTCGCTACTTTCGCTACTTTTTTTCGCTACTTTCGCTACTTTTTAGCCCAAAATTTCGCTACTTTCGCTACTTTTTTCGCTACTTTTTTTCGCTAATTTCGCTACTTTTTTGCTACTTTTCGCTACTTTTTAGGCCAAAATTTTCGCTACTTTTTAGCCCAAAATTTCGCTACTTTTTAGCCCAAAATTTCGCTACTTTCGCTACTTTTTAGGCCAAAATTTCGCTACTTTTGCTACTTTTTTCGCTACTTTTTAGCCCAAAATTTCGCTACTTTCGCTACTTTTTTCGTTACTTTTTAGCCCAAAATTTCGCTACTTTTGCTACTTTTTTTTTTCGCTACTTTTGCTACTTTTTTCGCTACTTTTTAGCCCAAAATTTCGCTACTTTCGCTACTTTTTAGGCCAAAATTTCGCTACTTTTGCTACTTTTTAGCCCAAAATTTCGCTATTTTCGCTACTTTTTTCGCTACTTTCGCTACTTTTTTTTCGCTACTTTCGCTACTTTTTGCTACTTTTTTCACTTTCGCTACTTTTTAGCCCAAAATTTCGCTACTTTCGCTACTTTTTTCGCTACTTTTTAGCCCAAAATTTCGCTACTTTCGCTACTTTTTTCGCTACTTTCGCTACTTTTTAGCCCAAAATTTCGCTACTTTCGCTACTTTTTTCGCTACTTTCGCTACTTTTTAGCCCAAAATTTCGCTACTTTTTTCGCTACTTTCGCTACTTTTTAGCCCAAAATTTCGCTACTTTCGCTACTTTTTAGCCCAAAATTTCGCTACTTTCGCTACTTTTTTCGCTACTTTCGCTACTTTTTAGCCCAAAATTTCGCTACTTTTTAGCCCAAAATTTCGCTACTTTCGCTACTTTTTTCGCTACTTTTTAGCCCAAAATTTCGCTACTTTCGCTACTTTTTTCGCTACTTTTTAGGCCAAAATTTCGCTACTTTTGCTACTTTTTAGCCCAAAATTTCGCTACTTTTTTCGCTACTTTCGCTACTTTTTAGCCCAAAATTTCGCTACTTTCG